TGCCTTACCTTACCTTACTGCCTTACCTTACCTTACTGCCTTACCTTACCTTACTGCCTTACCTTACCTTACCGTGCCTAAACTTACCTTGCTATTACACGTGCCCTATCATTTGCCCGATCAAGTGGTATCCTTTGCTCGTAATGCTACACAGGGCTCAACCTAATCATTTAGGATTTGGTCATTTTAGGTTGCTTTGTTAGAAGATGAATTAGCTGGTCGTCGTAGTTTCTGGCGTCGGCAACTCCACCGTGAGGACGAGCAGTCCGTTATTGAATCAAGTTTACATCAAGACTTATTGAATGAAGAATATCTTACTGCTGCCAAAGTGAAAGAGAGATTGGAATCTATTCGCGAGGGTGAGTCAAGAAAAAAGTTTTTAAAAGTTGCAAAATGTACAGTTTAAAATATACATATACACCTAATTCAAAAAACTTTGTCATCGCCAAAGGCGATAGGCGATAGGAAATTCCGACATGGAAATGGTTTCGTTGAATACAAAGAACACCGAATCAGTCTCAGCACGAAGGTCCATACTCTTGACGAGAATAAGAAGAAGAAACACAAGTCATTCCAGCTATTCTTGGATCTTGGAATGACATATATCCTATCGCTTTTCGCCTACTATATCTCCTATTGCCTATCGCCTTTGGCGATGACAACGTTTTTGAATTAGGTGTATATGCATGATAGAAAGATGGAAAAGAAAGCTAAAATAAAACCGAGAGAAAAGATAAGTAAGTTCGATTGGCTTGTATATTTGTTTCTAGAAACATCTGCCCTATCTGACGCCGCTCACCGAGAGGTTCAACGTCGTAGCGATGCCTCCATCGACCATGCAGCAGCTCTTCCGGCTGACGTGGTTGCTGTGTTGACGTTATTCGATGAAGATGAACGCAAATATGAAGAAGATCACTGCACAGCTCACAAGAAATTCATCGAGGCCATTACGAGGTTCTTTGAAAAGATTCAGGCTGAAGAATACAAATATAACTCGCGAATGGAAGAACTTGAGGTAATTTCTTCGTTTGGAAAGCAGCCACTTGTGGGCGAGAAAAAGTAGTGTTTATTCATCCTAAGTGCACTTTTCTAAGCACAATTCAAGGCACAGTTGTATAAAAGGCATTAAATTAAGCACTGAGAGTAAATTGGGAGTAAACATTTATATTTTGAGAGAGATCATAACATCACCTTTAGCAAATTTCATGAAAAATATAATATACATATTTTAGGGTGCTCTGAATCCAGAGGCTGAGGCGGCCGTCACTGAACGATTTCACCAGGCCAAAGCACGCCTTCGAGGTGAATTACAAGACCACCTACAGAGCCGTACAGAACAGATCGATGAGAGCCACTCGTTGCTGGAATATCTGAGACACAAAGCAGAAGTATCAGCCCTAGAAGCAAAGGTAAATTAATATTCTAACTTAAAAATTTCCAGGCTCCTTTTCCTTTGAACTTAATTTCTTGTCTATTTTTCAAAGATCGTTTTAACCGGAGGTACTACCATGGCTGGCGATTATGAAGTTTCTTTACTTGGTATCTATGGAGATGACATACCCCTGCCGGAAACTAACCGAGAAATGATACCACTCCTCCAAAAACTCATCAAATTGCTACAAGAAGGTGGATATGTAGTGCCTAGTGGCGCGCCTCAGATCTTACCACAGGCGGGATTTACCACCCTTGACAAAAAAGAGGTCGAAGCACCAGGCTTTATGGCTAGTCCACAGGCTCGAGGTAAGGTTTCAGAAAGAGAAGGAGAAGAGAAAAAGGAAGAAAAGTAGATGGGAGGGAAAAGAATCGATTCTTAGTAGGTCACTTACTATTTCATAGCACGGAGAGGCACTTGCTATTTTACTGCTCGTTTCTATTGTGAACGGGCTGCGCTCTTAAGCGTAACGTAATCAAATAAACGATTGAATTTAATTTAAATGGACTGAAGATGAAAGAAGAAAAAAAAGGTTCACGTAATCGAGTAGGCCACTTGCTAGTTCATTGCACGGAGAGGCATTTGATATTTTATTGAACGTTCGATTTGTGAATAAACGTTTTAAATAAGCGATTGAATTGAATTGCATGAATTGTATTGAACTGAAGATTAGCGAAAAAATGGTTCTCCTAATCTCTTGCGAATTTTGTTTTAGGAATGATTATGGGTATGCAACAGCCATCACAGTTATACTCGATACAACGTGGAACTGTTGAACCAAGCAAACAAACCGCTATCACCACACTGGTATCAAAAGACGGCCAGTCTCGTGCTGAGGACCGTTCTGGATTCTCTGTTGCTGATATCATAAGTAGCGTGGAGGTAACACAGATGGGTGAGAAATACAGTAGCGAGTCTGTAACCGTTGCTGATATAACATCGTCCGGTACGCTGACTGAAGAAAAACGCAAAGAAATCCAGAAAAGCCTGATGGAAAAGCATACCATGGAATGCGCACAACTGGAGAATGAATTAAGATCGAATGAAATCAAGAGCATTACTGATGTGATTACCGAATACGAAAAGAAAAAGGAAGAAGCTTTGACTAATTTGAAGGGGGAACTTAGGCAGAAACTTAAGACTGCAAGTAGTGATGAAGAGAAAGAGGCTCTTCTGTTGGATTACGCTAGCAAGATGACCCAGGTACAGGATGAAATCGAAAGAGAAAAACAAAAGAAGCTCGGAGACGTCAGAAAGCAGCTTAAAGCTGAAAGGTTGAAAAGAAAGAAAGAACTTTATTAGTAAGTATTTTTGATTGTTTAAGGTGGAAAAGAAAAAGTTCCTTCCCTCACTGCCCAAATTTATTCGTAATCTATTCTTCGTCAATTCTTACGTAAGATTTGTTTTAGCATTCTATATCAATCAACTCCAGCATGGCCGCCACTTCTTTGTTTTTTAAATTTCTTAGGAATCAGCTTCCTAGCTTCCTAATTATTCAGTTTTTTCACACCACACTTACAATCTTGATACCATTCTGGACAATTCTCGGTTTTTATTATCCTTCTTTTGGGACTGTAAACACAAGCGCATTGCAGCCATTTTGGTGTACATAACACTAGTAGCCAACGAGAACTTCCAATATGGTCGCAATACGTCACGAGGAGATAAACACGCTTTTGATTTGAATTTGATCATTTGCAAATTGCTTAGCTAATTATTTTATCTTTTTCCTTTGAAACAGTCGCCACAAAGAGGAAGCGCGTGCCGCAGGCATCAGTGACGTCGTGGACCTTGAACTTCCCGACGACGATGAACTTGAGCGAGACCTCATTCTATTGGCTCAGCAGCAAGAAAAACTATTGGCAGAGCTAACCAAAGCTTATGCAGAGGAGAGTGATAGAGAAAGAGAAGAAATTGAGTCTGGTCGTAGAATGGCATTTGATCAGGAAATGGAAGCAAGGCTGAAAGGAATGAAATTATCTTTGTCGTCCGAGGACATCGATGAAGCTATGGAGGAGGTGAAAGAGGTAAAGTATGAAGTAATTAATCTGCAAATTCTTTATTATGGATTTACAAAGAATTTTTTTTTGGTTGCCACAGATGCACACCAAAGGAAGTGTTCGTCGTACAAACATGAAGGAAAAGATGAAAGAACGCAAGGAAAGAAAGCGAGGCAGAAAATCTGTAGTTGATCTTGAAGCTGACCTCAAACATGTTGAACCTGGATCCCAAGAAGAAGCTGACATCAAGGCAGCCATAGCTGAAAGGGAGAATGCTGACAGGATAAGAGAAGAACAAGCTTTGCTTGCTGTTCTAGACGATGTGGAAGCGGAAACAGAATCTGAAGCTCGACAAAAGGTTGTCTCTGGCGTGATAAAGAAATCGCAGTTGTCTGAAAGAGAACAACAACTAGTTGTGGAACGTTTCATGGCGGAAGCCGAGAAGATGAATGAGAATTATAAAAACATGCAGTCACGCAGTCGGGCCGTTCTTATGGCTAAACTAGCAGCAAGAAAGAGGCTCAAAGAAGAGATGAGTCATGAGAAAGTCATTAAACAACAGCTGAAGGACATGGCGAACAAGCAGGTCAGTAAGAAAAGTCTTTTTCGCAAGACTTCTCATACATAGTGTTTGGGGGGTTTGCAAAGGTTACGAAAACATTGCTCCATCCTCAGTCCTTGATTTTTTTTTACAAGAGAAAATGTTCTAAATGTTCCTTAAACCCACTAGATTAGTGCCCAAATCTCTTGACGTTATACTGTTTTGATTTGTCTGTGTTGTTGTTGTTGTTGTTGTTGTTGTTGTTGTTGTCACAGTTCAAAGGGCAATAATCTACACTGCCCTTCTCAAGCCATTACAAAATTCTCAGATTTTTACTTCTTATTTCTTCAATCGTATCTCATTTGTAAAGTCAAGTGAAGCTTTTCCAGGTTTAAATTCGTAATTTTACTTCAAACCAAAACACCGGGTGCAGGCAATATTATTTTAACAGAATCCAAAAATCTGACTCATTTTTGTTTCCAGGCTGAGCTGAAAGGTGAAGGAGGCGCCTTGGAGGTGATGCAGGCAGCTGAAACATCTATCGAAGAAAATGTTGCCAAAAACCTAGACGAACTGGCAGAGAAACATGTCGATCGCCAAGCAGCTCTCGACATTGACACCCAAGAAAAGATCAAATCAATGGAAGATGAGATCGAAGAAGAACGGACTGCCAATGAAACCAACATCAATGAACAAATTGAAGTTCAAAAAAAGAAGGTGAGTTTTCAGTTGTAGCTTTCGTTCGCATTAGTAAAAAATTGATTAGGCGGGTTCCCCCTGGTCTTCCGGCTTTCCTCCCTCCACAAAACCTAGCAAGCTAAATTCTAATTTCATCTGTGTGTAAGCCGTGCCATGATTTAATTAAGTCTACCCAGAGGATGTTTCTGGGTTCGATAAAAACGACTTTTGGTTTTTGGAAGGGGTCAAAAAAGTAAAGCGCTGATGCCCCCATCAGTAATCAATCCTTACATGCATAGCAAGGTCATAATGACTTACAAGGTGTTTGTGCGTACAGATCATCCAAGACAAGAAAGATAAGTTCGATAAAGACATGGCTCGAGAAGGCGCCAAACTTTCACAAGAACAAGCTGATCATCTTCTTGAACAGCACAAACAGGAACTGGAGTTCCTGGAAAGGAACCTTGATGCCGAAAAACGTCGACAAATTGACGCCCTTAACAGCAAGATACTCGAGAAGAAACGACGTAAAGCAGCGGCAATGAACGCCAAGCTTGAGGTCGAAATGAAGAAAGAACTACTGGATCAGCAAGCTGAAAGACAGCAAATTTGGAATGACCAAGTGAGAGCGATACTAAAATTAATGTTGTTTATCCACTCTCATCGTCACAGTCTACTTTCTTTAGCTTTCCATACTTGATAAAAAAGTAGTGAATATCTGTTTTATCTGTCTGTCCCTTACGCATCTTTTGTTTAATTATCTTGTTTGCACATGTAGAAAAAACTGATATTTTACAACCATCACTCAAAGGGGCTGGCTCTTCCGTGATGTTTGCTCCATTACCACTACTTTCTAAATTTACAACGCACACAAACACTCAACTCACATTTTGAATTTGGATTTGAGATTTTTGTCTAGTTGTTTCTATTGCTGTATTCGAGTCGGTCTTGTGTTTTCCTGGTATGATATCTAGGGGTTTTAGTTGTTTAAGATTCTGCTATGTTATAGAGGGTTTGCTAGTGGTTAGACGGCAGAACAATAAAATCTCTTCGTGTCTTTTGGCCATTGAATTCTTTCTCATGCAAAACGATTTTATTGTGGTTTATTGTTCAGACTGCCATCTAACAAGGCTGTCCTCACGTGATGGTATGAACCTCTATTGATTTACCCCAACTGTTATGATCTTCTCCATTATTAGGCACGTCAAGCACAAAAAGAAGTCCTCTCAGACAAAGTACAAACCATGGATAGCGAACAGGCAGGCAACACAATATTCCAAGTTCTGCAACAGCGTCACACACAAGAGAAAGTGGAAGCAGAAGAGAGATATGCTCGAGAAACAGAGATTGCGAAGGCTGAAGCAAGAGCACAAGAAGAAGAAGCCCGCCAGGCTGCGAGGGACCAACTTATCGGGGAACAAGAACAGGTACCAACCCAACGTTTTAAAATCAAAAAAATATATTTCCTCATTCTTACTCAGTTAATTTTTTCCCCGCAGGAGTTTATGGAACTTATTTCCAAATCAAGTTCTTTGAGTAGCGGAGAGTTGGCACAGCAGAAAGCCGAGTTGAAACTCAAGCACAAGGTAGATATATATAGTACATCTTTGTATCCATAGAGTAAAGGTCAAAAGCGTATTAGAAGTGTGCTTTCTGTTAGAGAATTCCGAATCCGAAATAACTATTATTGAGACCATCACTGAATTGCTAGTTGCTTTCAAAACGTGATACTAATTACTTGATTATTTCTTCTGCGCATTTACAGAAACAATTGGCAGAGTTTGATGCAGAAACTGAGAATCTATTGACGAAAGCTGAAAATGAGGCCTTACCTTCTCTCGAAGTCAAGCATGCTTATGCAAGACTTGAGCTTAGAGAAAAACAACTGGCTGAGCTTGCTGGTACCATGAAAGAACTCTCGACTGAAGAGGTAGGTCAATCAGAAGTAACTATACAACTGTCAGGAGGCAAAAATCAAATAGGATTCAGGTATGGCATTTCGATAAAGAGGCTCCTCATCTACTGAACTTAAGTAGAAATCAACTGTTGGTTTTTGCAGAGGGAGGAAAACGGGGGAAAACCGAAGGAAACCCCTAAAAGCACCGTAGAGAACCAATAAACAACTAGACACCGAATCTAAGAATGGCGACCAATTTGAATAACTATGCAGTGAATAGCCTATCTTACATGTGGAAACGACTTTGTCTTTCCACATAAACAGGCTAGCCCATCCACAGCAATAGATATAGAAATAGGTCGCCATATCTCGATTGGGTGTATAGATTCATACAACGAGTTTGAGGCTTGAACCCGGTTGCATTAGCGAGAGGCGAGCACTGTCACCACAACGCCAACCAAGCATTGGCGAATATCAGAATATTTAGTTGGGATATACTGCTCAAAATCGAGTTTCAATCTCTCTGTATTACTTATATTTATTCCAGGAACTTGTTCAGTCGTATATCGAAGAATCCCAAAAAGCCGCAGATGCAGCTAAGGAATACCGTGAGCGAACAATGTTCGATATGGCCAACAAAATCAACCAAATCAAAGATAAACGACGAATACAGAGCGAGGAAGAAAGAAAGAGAATGGATGAAGAGATTAGGTGCGCAATAAATTTTTCTTAAATTTATTATTGTCCTAGTTTGTTTTAAAATGTGCGGTGCTTTCTGTACAATTTTTAAAAAAACACTTGAAATTTTGTTGGCGTATCATCCCAGACGCCCAAAATGGCCAGGACACGGTTGCAGGCAGTTTTGCGCGTTGATGCTGTGTGGTGTAAACTTGGCAGTTCATACTCTGTTAATTTGTTGATGCACTTTCAAAGAATTGTGTGGGACTGTTAACTGCGTAGCTCTCACTTTAATAGGGGGTACTAACTCCAATCAGTGAACCAGGGTCATCATCAACGTGTTCTGTTCTTTTTTTACAGAATATTAGAAGAAAAACTGGATGAAGAACGTAACCAAGAAGAACTACGGTTGGCGGAACGAGAAGCTGAAAGGGTCGCAAAGAAGATGCAGCTTGCGAAAGAGCAAGAAGCGTCTCGTCAACTTTCTCTTGCTCAGCAGGGTTTGAACGAAGAAGAAAAAGAGGTAATAGACCTTCGCTAAATAACGCTCTGTTCCTTGATTACAGACTCATTTCTTCAAGGTTAGCCTCATTTCAGTGGTAAAATATTCACAAATACCAACGGTAAAGTAAAGAACTGCACAACTCGAACAATGCAAACACTTTGCAATTCCACGGAAATTCACTGGAATACATGAGTATCGTGTGCACAAAATCGAGAATATCCCTAAGCAACAGAGATCTCGAAACTCAGCCTAGTATTAACAAGATGTTGAACCATTGGCCACAAGTCAGAGATAAATAAAGAATGATTTGTCTAGTTAAAACTGTTTCATTACAATTTTCATTTTTTTTTTTACAGAAACTGCTCAAAGAGCACGAAGAAAACATGGCCAAGTTTGAAACGAATCTCCGAAAAGAACAAGACCGAGTGAAAGAAGCTTTACGCGAAAAATTGGAAGCCCGTCGCAAGAAGAAACGTGACGCAGCCATGAAGGATATCGTCGACACTGCTGCAAAGACTTCCAGTGAGGCTGAGGAACAACACAAAAAGGATATCCAAGCTTTGCAGAAAGAAGGAGCACAGATGATGAGTGCTTCTACTCCCTCACGTCCACGTACACCTCCTTCCTCGAAAGACAAATCTGGTGTGTGATTCGTGCAGTAGATTAGCAATAGTCCCTTTCACATTCCATGCGCCATCTTGAAAGGTAGCCATGCCTTTGTATCGAAGCGAGACGAACGGTGAGCTTGCAATGATAGAGACCATTTTTAACACCTTGTACAATTATCCACGTCTCTATTATTGAAAGCTCGCCGTTCGTCTCGTTTCAATGCAAAGGCACGGCTACCTTTCAAGATGGCACAGGGAACTCTGAAGGGTACTATTAGTACCAATACTTCAGTTTCCAATCCCTTATCATCGAAGACATGGAACTCTTAAAAGAGCTCCTTTAAGAGATTTAAGCTATAGAGCCATAATAAGAGTCTAACTGGAAATACCTGTTGTGTGCGCTGGCAATTCGCATTTTTTCCTGTTGCTCGTGGGTTCGATCTTTGGACCCGCCCTTATATKTGATTAGAGTTGCTTTATGGTTCTTTCGTGTGCTTCGAGAGTTTTTTCCGGGCAAAAGTGAAATTCTAATTTATCGTTGAATGAGGGCTACGGGTTTATTACGGAATAGCTAGTATATGCTATCCTCCACAAATAAGGACCAAGGAAGCATATATTTACCTTTGCCTGTGGCCATTCTGAATATCTTTAGAACTTAGTTAAGCCTGCATGAATGAACCAAAGACACATGGGCTGTATGGTTCAGAGTAGGGATCTACCATGATATAAACTGACCTACAAAATGACATTTTGACTTTTCTCATTTTCGTTACATTTGTCTTCATTTTAGATTCGGGAGCTMCTGATGCAATGAGTTCCATACCACTTGCTCCTACAACAGCTCGTTTAGGAGTTTCTGAACAAGATTTAGCTGGCATGGTCATGGGTACCCCTCTGTTTGAAAGTCTCAACGAGATTGAGTCGAAGTTGCGCAATAATATCGGCGAGGGTGGAGTCGCTGGYGCTAAGGGAGGAAGGCCATATATTGATGTACAAGATGCTCAATGGTTGTGTGGCGGAGATCTGGTCCCCGTGGACATCAACGAACTCAGCCCTACCAACTTCGTGGTCTACAGATTTGGTGTMTTTGTGACAGATATGCTGAAACAAGCCATGAAAGTACCGGATGTGACGTTGCTTTTGGCTTCCAATCTTCCAAACAATGACTACCAACGAAATGCATTTAGGAATTCGTTCTTTTTCGAGCATGCCCGCAAAATCCTGTTCATACGCCAGGAGAGAATGCACTCGGTTGGAGACTTTGTAGTTGTTATCATGCACTGTTTGGCGCACATCAAGGTTGACAACCTYGTGGATGATAATAATCCTTTGTTCTTGAGGGAATTCTATAAGGTATTTGAATTAATACTGACAGTTTCACCTTATGAAAGAARTATGCATAGTTAAAGCCATCTCGGCTCACCTCATTCCATCCCATCTTACCTGTCCTACCTGTACTTTCTTCTATCAATTTTCTCTTCACTTCTCTTTCCTTGTCTGTATTTCTCTTTTATTGCCTTGTCTTCTCTTTCCCACCCCATCCCATATGATCTTATCTTATCTATTTATCCATCATGTTATGTATTCGTTCTTTCATGCATTTGTTTATTGCGAACAGTTGCAACGACATAATGCATGATAATACTTTTTTAGGCTATGAGAATCTGTTGTCAAGACATGTTCTTCCAGCGATCTCGTTCTACAAGAGCTTCTAGCGGGATACCTGACGATTCTGCCATGTATGGCGCTTTCAAGGCTGCTTTCAACCAGCCAAGCACTGTCGAAGAACGAATGAACGTCGTGGAAGAGTTAGTAAACATGAAGGTCATTGGATCGTCTGCTACAGACTTTTCAAATCAGGTACGTTTGTCTATTTTACTATCAGTTTAATGACTCTTGATCAACAGAAGAAGGATGCAGTCTAGTATTTGGTGGAAATTTGATATGATTCTTCGTATGAAAAAAAGATGATTTAACACAATGTTGACTTTACTTTAAAGGGAATAACAGAACGTCTTGCAAGGAAGAATGCCTTCATAACTCGTGCAAATCTAAAGGAATACTTATCCAACGCACACGCTCCTTCGGAGAAGAAACAAGAATATACAATGAAGAGGATTGGGGAGCTAACAGGACATTCCTTGCATGACCAGACTAGGTAAGGGAAATGATGAAGAACTCTTGTATTTGTTCAGCATCGATTGTGACCCATACATTGTGTCTTTGATGAAAATCTTTTTCTTCAAGTTCTGGTGATGATGATTGCCGTGCTAATGTTGGTTGTGGTGGTGATGATGATGCTGTTAGTGGTGGTTACTAAGATGAAGATGATGTGGGGATGTTAATGATGATGATTTTATGGTGCTGGTGATGATATGATGATGATGGTGGTGATGATGATGATGATACATAATGATGATACATGACGGTGATGATAGTAGGTTGGTTATGATAATAATGATGTTGCTGCTGATAATGATGATACTAATAATAATCTTGATTACCCTCCTAGAACAAGACACCAGTCAGGTCGTGGATCAGCCATCATGTCACCAAAAGAACTGCTCAATCGTCAGATCACCAAAATGGAAAGRAGCATTGACGACTGTAATGAAGAGCTCACCAAAGTAATGAAGTCAGAGGCAGAACTAAACGAGGCGATCCAGGAGATGCAAGACAATACTGAAATCTCGACTGAAAGAATCGCAGATGTCAAAGAACAGTTGAGAAACGTTGAGATGCACAAAGACAGCATCATTAGACGACTGGACTATCTCGAGGAAGAGATTGCCAAGAAGCAAAAACTGTTCAATTAAACCTTATTTTTATATATAGAAACTCGATTCACGGCGGTGAAAAACAAAGCCCATAGCCGTCTGATAGATTAAATTATTTTTTTCTTTATAAGATTTTTCTTTATGGAACAACTTACTTTGATTTTTTAATTATCAACTGCAATGTAGACATTTAGATAGCTTATTTATTTTTGTCAAGTAATTTTTTWAAGTAACTTAACCGTAATATTGTTTCAGATTTATCTTGATTCCATCGTATGTTTAGATTATTTAAATTTGAAAATTTGTATGCTTTGTGATCAAGTTCGTTCTATCCTAAATTATTTGGTTCACCTGGTGACCAAAAACCTTCCACGTTATAATATTTATCAAAGCAGCACATCGTATTAAGAGTAAATTTTGCCAAATGCATAGCACGGACCGTGATATCCGCAAAGGAAAAAATTGGTCCTAAAAATGATTGAAACAATACTAGTCTAAAATAAAACACAAGATCGCAAGGAAACTTAAAAAGATAGTCAAGAGAGAATGAGYATTTTCATTTTATCTTGGTATTGTGATTTGTATAGAATAGATAACATTTAKGGCTTCGATAAATGACTTGAGCAAGTTATTTTGTAAAATGGATGTACTTTTTTAAAATTTAAGATGTAAGATTTAATAAAATGACCAGTAGTAGTAAACGGGTGATACCAGAGGCTCTATGAAAGAGGATGAAAGCATCTAACATGCATTATGTACATACAAGAGAGTTTTAGATTTACGTTCACGGCAAACGTGAAACGTCAGTTGACCAGTAAAAAATTATTTTAAATTTCTGAAAAAGAATCGCAAAAACGTCCAAGTAGTAGAAAAAAAAAAGAAGTATATTTGCGCTTGGTGAGAAGGTTTGTAAAAGGTAAAGTAAAATACAGGAAAACTATGAAAACGTGGTCACGTTTGCCGTTTGCGGGGAGAAAAAAAGTCAATCTAAAACTCTCTACAGTTTTAAGGTTGTCGAGCGAAACAAATGTTCAGCACATCATTATTAAATATTATAAATATTATTAATCCTGCGCATTAATTTTCAGTCATAATAAATGAATCCAGGTCTTTCTACAAATGACCCARGCTTAGCAACTGCCTTGGTAGAGTTGTTTAGCTCACACAGGTTATTCCCATGMTTGTCATATTGGTAATTTATGGAAAAACAGTTCGGTTCAGCAAAGCAAAAGGAAGAACATTCCATGACGTCTATAGCCAGGATGTTTTGTATGGTATGGTCGCGAAGGGCAAAGTCCACGTTAGATAAGGATGCCATGACCAAGTTTTCTGGATGTACCATTACTTTCGCTGAGGGATAAAAAAAGGAAACTTAAATCCAAGGCAAAAAAGTCGAACTTCAAATAAACAAATTTACTTACTTATTTTTTATATCCTAATTTTGTTCTCAACTTTTCTCTGTTTTCATTGTTTCTTACAATTCCATTCTTATATTTTTTATGCAATTATATACTTACTGAGTTACTTTGTCGTTGCCATTACCAATAAGTATCCCAAATGGCTAGAGCCTAACTAGAAAACTCCCCGGTTTATTTAGGCCCTAGGCATAATTTACATGTATCGTAAAATTATAATAATTACCTTCTAATATCTAAATGTAATAATAGTTCATTTTTGTAAATATAATTAATTGAAATTACGGATACGCCAGAGATTTCGAACCCGACACCGCTATCCAGTGACTAAATTATTTTTTTTGCCCGGCTTGTTCTTACCATTGACACTCAAAAGACCTCTTTAACTGCTTAATCATTTTCCCAATGAGACTGTTTTCTCAAGGTCGCGTGCGCATCCAACTTGACGGGCCACAAAATTGAAAAACGCAAATTTAGTAAAATCGAGAAGCCAGTTTTGTATTTAAAGAGGAGAATAATCAATTTTATGAATTTTTATTGAAAAAATTCATATAAATGTATGATAATTCTAATCATAAAGCTCCTGTTCTGGTGTCGTGGCTCGTCAAGTTCCTTACGCACGCACGCAACCTYGAGAAAACGGTCTATTCATACCAGTTATTATCTTGAAAATTAGATGTTTTGATTGAGTTATATCCATATTTCTGTGTTTTCTAACGCGCAACTGTTAACCAAAGACATGATACTCAAGGGAATGACACGCGTTCTGAATGGAAAACCATAACGCCATAGGTGTTTACTGAGGGTACCCCCTAGGAAATCTAAGTTGATTCTCAACGTAACAACTCACCCTTTTTGCAAATGGAAGGTTTYGGGTGTTTGCATTCAATATCGTTCCATTTCCCGCTGTCGACAAACAGCTCCACACACTTTTCTACTCCTCCAAAGTTATTTGGTTCATCGGGGTTCCAGTTGGAGAATGTGACGTTACTTCCGTCTTGCCACTGGAACCTCCCATCTATCTTAGACAGACCAATCCATGCGCTCTGCCCGTGCAAGGGCCTGATGAACGTGTCATACACGTAATTCAGYWCGTCTTGGTCGTTTATYTTTATYAGTTGTCCATTACGAGCTACGCAGTCGTCTCGGCTTTGTTCCCAAGTTTTTGAAGAGGCTTGTATTGTGTAACAGGATTCTTTGTAGCTTTTCCATCCTATTCCGCATAATTCTTCATCTGGTGAAAAGANACCTCTTTAACTGCTTAATCATTTTCCCAATGAGACTGTTTTCTCAAGGTCGCGTGCGCATCCAACTTGACGGGCCACAAAATTGAAAAACGCAAATTTAGTAAAATCGAGAAGCCAGTTTTGTATTTAAAGAGGAGAATAATCAATTTTATGAATTTTTATTGAAAAAATTCATATAAATGTATGATAATTCTAATCATAAAGCTCCTGTTCTGGTGTCGTGGCTCGTCAAGTTCCTTACGCACGCACGCAACCTTGAGAAAACGGTCTATTCATACCAGTTATTATCTTGAAAATTAGATGTTTTGATTGAGTTATATCCATATTTCTGTGTTTTCTAACGCGCAACTGTTAACCAAAGACATGATACTCAAGGGAATGACACGCGTTCTGAATGGAAAACCATAACGCCATAGGTGTTTACTGAGGGTACCCCCTAGGAAATCTAAGTTGATTCTCAACGTAACAACTCACCCTTTTTGCAAATGGAAGGTTTYGGGTGTTTGCATTCAATATCGTTCCATTTCCCGCTGTCGACAAACAGCTCCACACACTTTTCTACTCCTCCAAAGTTATTTGGTTCATCGGGGTTCCAGTTGGAGAATGTGACGTTACTTCCGTCTTGCCACTGGAACCTCCCATCTATCTTAGACAGACCAATCCATGCGCTCTGCCCGTGCAAGGGCCTGATGAATGTGTCATACACGTAATTCAGTTCGTCTTGGTCGTTTATTTTTATTAGTTGTCCATTACGAGCTACGCAGTCGTCTCGGCTTTGTTCCCAAGTTTTTGAAGAGGCTTGTATTGTGTAACAGGATTCTTTGTAGCTTTTCCATCCTATTCCGCATAATTCTTCATCTGGTGAAAAGATCAATTCTTTTTATGGAAACCTGTAGATCACTGCTACCTTAAAGTTTTATATTCTCCTTAATATAATGCAGTAACGATAAAAGGGTAAATTTTACACCGTAAAAAGATGAAAAGATGAAAATACTTGCTGACGTTTCGGACGCTAGTTTTTTCATCTTTTCACGGTGTAAAATTTACCCTTTTATGTACTGTTTCATTAGAAACACCGACGCAGCTTACACTAGATTTTAGCTAGTTATCTCTAAGCTAGAATTTAAACTATTATATATATGAAAAATAAATCTTAGTCTTAAATATATTAGTAAGAATCTATACTCTTTTGATTAATTATAATTCAGCATTTTTACAATATTCGCGAGTTCAAAATCAACGAAAGTTACTTAATCGCAGAGTTTTGAATTATGAAAATATATACGCGGCTTAAGTTTTTAGAAAAGTTACTTTGCTAAAATTAAAGTCAACTGTCTTGTGAAATGAAAGGGATAATGGTTGAATAAATATACTCGAGATTCATTTCAATTGTGGGTAAAAATAGCAACATTGTTTGACGTATTTCGACTTTATAGGATTTTACGAAGATTACACAATATCWACTGGACGCTTTGCGCATATTTACAATTACCTTGAAGTATCCTAGCAACCAACTACCAATCAGATTACTAGGTAAGAATGATTGATATTTTTTTCTTTTAGCTTAGTTTTCTTTCTATTGCTAACCCTCACACGAAAAAACTATAAAAAAGCTTCTGTTAAAAGTAAGAATTTAATTTTTAAGCAAAAAAATGTTCATATTATATACTAATTTGAATATTACGTCAAACCGTTCGATAGTAATGCGACGGATTCGATGAATTTTTGTTAAAACGAGGTACAACGCGCGCGGCTCAGTTGAAATTATACGATTTAGTATCAATAACGACTAGTGCAATTTTCACCGACTCTGGCGCCTCTGCACGTCATACAAATAGCGCATTTTTTTACAATTTCTGGACAAGGCTTCAGGACGCCAAACCGTTCATTATCAGCACTTTAATCAAATAAAACCTACTCTTTCATAACCAAAAACTGGCGTTTTGTCGTCTCCTGACAAAACTTCACTTATCTTCAGCCACGCGTAAGGCTTACATGCTTTTATTTCTATTTCTTAATATCGCTTTCAATCTGAACCGAAGTGATTTAATATATTTTCGGTTTGAAGATAAAATCTTACGAGTTTGGTTTTTTCCCACCGACCTAGAAATCAAGTTTCAAATGAAAGCTCCGCTTATAATATATAAATGTGAATATAGATATTTGAATTTTTGTTGGTTGCATTTTCGCATTTTCTTAGAAGTGTCCTTTAACTCAAGGTAGATTCAAAACAAAGTACACGGTTTAGGCCATCTTAAGTTCAGTTATGGGAAAACGTTGTTTATCTTACATACCATATAGTGCTCTATGTACATGTAAATCAGWTTTCTTGCGAGTGAAGGATAAATGTATTTTAATGAAATGTCAAAACAGGTGAACGGATAAGAAAAGCGACAAAGATGAACGCGGAACAAACACTAGTACAAGAGGAAGGGCGGCAGCATTCAAATCAAAGATGGTCAGTTGATTTTATCATACACTTAAAGGAAGCGTGTTCGCCAACGAAACTTTATAAAAGAGAGAAAAAWAGGTGTATATATGAAAGAAAAATATAAAATAGAAATCATGAGTAGAAATCATGTAATATCATTGTTGTGCTCGATTAGTCCCGCAGTTATTTTGCATTTGCAAAGTATTCATCAAAAAATAAATTTGTTATCAATTTGATTGGTTATGATTGATGATCGAAGCGATATCAAGACCAATAAAATCTAATGTATCAAAGAAGATGCAAGCTCAGATATCATATYATCAAATAACCATCCCTACATCATTATACCACGCAGCATATATACTTTTTTTAGGCGAGTAATTCAGAAAGAAGGCTGATTCAAGCTAGGTTCTTAAACAGATAATAGAAAATGTTGGCAATGAGAGAGTTTACAAATGAGATTCTGAATTAAAAAATGAAAAAATATAAAAAGAGAGAYRGGTTTGCTTTTAAYTCAACGWGGGAAAATKGGATTTGAGGCAACGAGAAAACGGRATTTRGTTAAGTGGGATGGACACAAGCCAGTATGGGACATAATATATTCATTATTCCATGGGATTGAAAGTCCCTTTCTGGGATCTAATAGCTGTGGAGTGTTCGTGGTGTTACAGCGCTGCAATAAATAGAATGACTTATCCAATCAWATCAAACTCAAAACCCTAAATGTATAAAAATGAAGAATAAATGCTCGGAAAAACCCAACTTGCACAAATTTATTCGTGTGAGACATATTTTGAAATGATTTATACGGATAAAGAATTTTTTTTACGATCGTTATTTTATTTTATTTTTTTAAATCTGCACGTCTGGAAAGTTAAAATAGRAATGTTKAAAATGTTGTATTAATTTTKGTATTTTTTTATGATGTCTGAGATTTAAAAATAGAACGTGAGAGATTGTCAACGATGCTCAAGCACCGAAAAGAGAGTTGACTAAACGTGGGCAATCTTTACGAGAAGTTYCGCAGGTTTTTTGAGTGTTTATTTCTAACATGCGGTTTCAATAGTCATAGAAAGTTGGGTCGAAATATTTGATATRCTTTGATGAATATTCTGTAGTAAAGCGTTTTATAAGTCTTTATATCAACTTACCATACTTGTTTCCAAAAGCGTTCTTCGATAATACAGCCAAACAGAGCGCTAAGAATGATACTCGCATGTTGGCATAAATGTATCGAACTTGAAAAGTCACCATTATATGACGCATCGATCGCTGGGGCACTGTTATCACACTACAGCAAAAACGTTGTCGCACGGCRCKTTTCTTTAGAGCRAGGGATTCAATGATTCATAAGTTAYGAGATTGCATTTCTCAACTCTAATAAAGCATTATTACCGGTCTCTCAATGGAAGTCCCATTTACGAACAGTAATTGGTGTATCTAATATTTACCGAATTGTTAATAAGGGCATTTTGCCTTGATAAATGCTTTCTGTGGGATACTATAATGAAATTTCAATAGTTTGAAATGTGTTGATGGTTGTCGATGAGTCTTTAACCCTTCAAAAATAACGTTTTAATGTAGTTTGCTTTAGGCTTTCACCCATTTTTTGTGTCCTAGAGACAGTGTTTAAGTAACYAGCTCGTATTCTTTTATYCGTGGTAATTGCATTAGARGGTGGCCGTCATAATCCCACTWAATCTGCGACTCTTTTCCCAAAACYAAAACGAACTACAATACCCTGAWTTGAAAAGCCAATTACTCTAATTATAATAAAGGAAACATTACTTTTATACCTTGTTTATCTTTATTCATTTCTCTCTCTTCTCAAAAACAAAAGGATTTATTTATTTTAATGAAATGAGAGTGACATGTTGGAGAGTGAATGGCCCCCCTTGACATGATGCCAAAGAAAACCGATGGAAAAGTTGAAGCCCGGTRCCTAAGATATATTAGAGCTTTGAAATCAAAAGTTACAAATCCATCGATAGTGTACACAGTAATCCAAGACCTTGGGTCTAGACAAAACACTAGGCTTATTATAAACATTTTTGACGTGATTTTCATTTTATCTGAAAAACGTATTTAAACTCTTTCTTTGTTTACAGCTACTTTGAAAAGCTGGTTTTTCTTCTAATTATATGCTAATGAGTAGTGGCAGACGTCAAAGAAATCCAAAAAATCCGAAATTTCTTCATGTTATTTTAATATATGGATATATGTATTGTGTTTCGCTCTGTTGGTTTATCTTTCTTTCTTTCTCTCT